TCGTAATTACCCGAACGCCACCCAGCCGAGTTGGATCCGTCGATTGACCTCTCCGTCGAAGTTGAACTTACCTAGTTGGACTATTTGTCCCAGGTAAACATATTCATCAACAACTTCGAGCTTAATGCTCCCAACAACTACCGGCATAGGTGTGACATCGATGTTACACATGATCTTTGCTTTGCCCAAGTTCATCTTAAGACCTATTCGTTGGAGGGTACATAGTGCTTAGGTCCTCCAGCGATTCTGCTATAAGGACTATATCGGCAGCTAACCGAAGGTGAGTGATGTACTCGCCATTGATGTTAAAACCGTATCCGTTCCAGTCCAGTAGCTTGAAAACGTCTTTCAATGTAGTGGTGAAGTTTCGGGGATGTAACGTTACCGTCTTACACCTCTCTGTAGTTGAATAGGTTTCATACTCGGATAGCCATCGTGACTCGTGATACTGTATAAACACTTCAGCACTTCGATATACCAACAGTCAACTGGACACCGCTGGAGGGACTGCAGCACCGCCCAAATTTCTATGGAATCAAAGGCTTTCTCATAGTCCACATACGCAATAGATAGTGGCAAATTGTACTCCTCGGCCTTCTATAAAATTTGCCGAAGGGTATGTATGCGGTCTATCGTGCTAAGGCCTTTTCGGAAACCGACTTGTTTGAGAGGCTGGAAGTCGTCAAGACGATTCGTAATGACTCTCTAAAACAGCACGTACCTAGAAGCGGCTAAGAAGGGAAATCGGTCTGTATTTCTTCAAGAGAGCGTTGTCACTTTTCTTGAAGAACAAGACCACCGCACTTCTGCTCCACGCCTCCGGTGTAGTGACCCAATGCAGGACGAAATTAAGGAGCTTCTGAAGGACTTCAAGCACCGGTTTTCCACCCGAAAGATCTGCTGTAATTCCATCCTCATCCGGGGAATTGCCGTTTTTAAGGTGCTTGAGACCCATTCTAATCTCGTTTAGACTGACGGCCGGAATATCATCGGAATATTGTCGGATAAAACTTTCTCTTGGATCGTTAATCACACTTGCTTGAGGCTCCATCGATGATGTTGGAGCCACAGGCATGCTTGCCATAGAACCTCTCAATCTCACTCAAAATCTCAGGTGTCCCGGAACCGATACTATCACACTCGGTCTTCAGCTTCGACAGTTGGCTCTTTCTAGGAGACAGATCTCTGGCAAAGACTATGGAGCTATGGTTCCGCTCGATCGCTTCTTCAATATAAGCTGTATTGAAGTTGCGTAAGTCCCGCCGAATGCATCTGGTGACTGTCTATTAAGTTGCCTGTATGCTGTCAAATCTGCTGACGATTGCAGCTTCATTTCCCGTCTAACAGCCAAAAGATTAAGAGTGTGATCGGAGTTTTTGTTTTCTTCTGCAGCGGGTATTGCAGAACTTGGCTCCGTCCACATGGACAGTTTCCACGAGCTTGTCATTCATATCGTCCACTGCATTTCAATCTTCTATTAAAAACGATTTTTTAACTCAAGCTGAAAGTTTTTGGGACTGGATTAGGAGGACGGAGCCTTGACTTCATTAGACGTGACCTCTCCAACAGTTGCCATCTAGTCGTCATAATGGATTCAATCTCCTTTTTTGTCGATCCGTCAGGGCTCAACCAGGTCCACTTCCTGTGAGGCCGCTTCTGGAAGAAAGAGTTAATCATAAAGAGTCCCTCTTTCTCCATGAAGTGGGCCAGCTGCTGGCCCCTTGGGTTCCGTTGGCCTATTCCAAATTTCTCTACCCTCAGCTCGACATTCTTTCTTATGCCTAGTTTTGCGTTGAAGTCTCCCATTAACACCGTATAGTGGGTTTTGGAGAGATGCATGGCTTTACAAATATTCTCATACATTTCCTCCACCTACTCATCGGGATGTGCCGAGGTTGGTGCGTAAACCTGTATAACCTTCAACGAATACCGTTTGGTGATTCTGAGTATACTTGTCGACACACTCACAATCTTTACTACGTTTTTAACGAGAGACTTATGGACGATAAATCCGACACCTCCTTGGGACAGATGGTCGCCCTCCCGGTGATAGAACAAGTTGCCGGGTTCGAGGATTACCGTGTACTCCCCCTCTTCGGACTTCAAATAATCCTATAATATTCCGGCACAACTTGTCTATCTCTTCTTCCAGCTCCAGAATATTCTCGTCTGGGCTATCTTTGTAATGCCAATCATATCTACTAGTAAATACAATAGGTATATAACAATCCCTCCCCGAACAGGTTTTTTTTATAGAATAAGGATGATGAGCACACAGTCCACCTGGGTGGTAAGTGGATGCTGTGGCCCATAGTCATCTATATTTGTTCTCGATTAAGAATCAATATGTAGATGCGTTGTCACCCCTAAGGACTAAGATGGAATGTCTGGTATCCAGTGAAAAAGGGTCTCCGGTTCTCTTCACTCACCATACGAAACACAGCAGCTGCTATTTTATGCCGGTACCAGCATAAAACAACTAATGGATCAGCTCAGCCAGAGAAGGACCACGCTCTCATAGAATACCAGCATAAAATAGCAGCTGCTGTATTTCGTATGGTATAGCTGCAGTATGGCTCTACTACGTACAAAATCTTATAAAAAAAACATCACATATATGCATAGAAACATGTTGTTTTTTAAAATACATGTTTTTAGTACCCAAACTACTAAAAAAAGCAAAGGTTCAATTTTTTTTTTAATTCTAATTACATCGGCCACTTTTGATTTATTATTTAATACACATAAAAAAGTAAGCACCATTATAAAAATCGTGTATCAGCGTAGACGTTTGCTCTCAGACAGTTAATATACTGAATTCAGTGCAGAGTAATCAGAAACTACAAATTAACTTGTTTTCCTAATTCATAACGAAGATTCCTAAATTCAATGTAGTCTTGTGTAGTATAAAACGTAATAGATCAATTAACAGTGGTAGAGCCACGCGGCGGCTTTTGCTGTCGCACGGATGGGCCGGCTCGAACCGGGGTGGTACCACGACCTCACAGAATACCAACGTGAAGTAGAGGTTTACCTCTGCGTTTCGCTTGGTGAGTGCAGGTGGCCGGAGGCCCTTTTTACTGGAAATGAGGCATTCCATCTTGGTCCTCACGGGTGGCAGCGCATCTGCATTTTGATTCGCAAACGAGGATAGATGTAGATGTCTATGGGCCGCAGCAACCACTTACCATCAGGTGGACTGTGTGCTCGTTTGTCACCCTTATCTTATAAAAAAAAAATTAATAAATAAAATACAAGGAGGCCACTGAATAAATTTATTTAATGAAATTTTAATATTAACTTTTAAAATTTCGCTTATAAAATGTTTACTTCATGTCCTTTGTAAGTAACCCATAACATTGTGGTCTTGTGTACAATTATCGCCATAAGAAATGGGTGGGTAGCTACGAACTCCACGACGATATTAGCACGCCGCATTACTAAGGTTCCTGTTAAAAGTATTATACAATTATTTATTTTACTTACACTTGACATCGTGTTAAGTATGTTACAGAGTAATCAGGAGTTCCAAATTAGCTTGTTTTCCTAATTCTCAACGAGGACTCCTAAATTCAGTGCAGTGTAATAAGTAGTGTATAGTAATAATTTAAAATTTTAAATTTTGCACAACCGACTTCAATATAAATTATTAAGCATAACTCAAAAACTATAGATCAGACCTTGATCTAATTGATAGATGGGACAAGTGAAGTATCAGCTTTCAAACAAAAAAAAAAAGAATCATCGAAATCGGTTCACCTAGTAAAAAGTTATGAGGTAACACAAATTAAAAAAAACATACCTCCTGCTGTTTGAAGTCGGTAGAAAAACGTAATATTCCAATGAATAAAGTACAAATTCACTGAGAAAATTTATTTAATGAAATTTAAATATTAACTTTCATAATTCTGGCTATAAGATGTTTATACTTCATGTCCTTTGTACGTAACCCATAATATTGTAGTCTTGTGTATAATTATCGCCATAACAAATGGGTGGGTTGCTACGAACTCGGGGGTGATAGAAACACGTAACCGCAGTACTAAGGTTCCTGTTAGAAGTATTACAATTATTATTTTACTTACACTCAACATCGTTTTGTTAAAGCTCATGATAAGTTTCATGTTAATAATTAATATTGAATGTAACAACAAGTCATGGCCTAGATCTTTGTTGACTTATGTTTTTAAGGTTCATTATTTGTAGAAGGGGGAGGGGTTAGCCTATTTAGTTTGGCGGTTAGAGGCTTTCACTTATACTAGACTGTATTGATTACCTTCGTTTTACTGCTAACAGCCACGTTACAATTTCTTTCTAGTAAAGAAACTTCTAGAATAGTCCTCTGTTTTGAACGTCCTCATTATAGTACCGTAATAATAAGTTCCTGCCAAATTTGACGACAGTACAACAAATTTACGAACACTCGCAAAGAACATGGGACCTCATACCGCAGCAAGACATTGGACAATTTAATTTTACTACTATAAGAGGTGGCATTCGGTACGTGGCAGACCCATGCTGCAGCTATATTAGTAGTATAATTGTAACACGAATGGGTCGGCTCGACGGAGGAAGTACCACGCTCTCACAGAATACCAGCGTAAAATAGCAGCATGACACTGCTGGGTTTCGTATGGTGAGTGTAGAGAACCGGAGACCCATTTTACTGGAAAAAGAGGCATTTCATCTTAGTCCTCACGGGTGATGACGCATCTGCATTTTGATTCTTTATTGAGGATAAATGTAGATGTATATGGGTCACAGCAACCACTTACCATCAGGTGGACTGTGTGCTCGTTTGTCACCCTATCCTATAAAAAAGGTGGCAACACTGATTATTCATAATTAGATTTTATAAGATTTTTTCAAAATTAATTAAAATTAATAGTTTTGTATGAAGAAATGAAGTCTTTGTATCATACTAATTTTCTACGGCGATTAAAAAAATTAACATTTTTTATTAAAACAAAAAAATTAGGAAATGTTTTTTGTTTTTTATTAAAGACCTCATCATAATAATAATCTATCATTCTTCCATTTACTATACCACAAAATTCTTCATAGATTTTTAGATATTTGATGATTTTTTATATTTGATTTTTTTAGATATCCCTAGATTCTGTTGATGTATATATATATTAATATTTACAAAATAATAAAAAAACACAATTAGTATTTAAATAAATATAATATATTATTATTAAATGCATGTAAATAAAAAATCTTAACATTAGTAAAAATATTAAGTGATTTCAGCTAAGAGCACTTATGTTAATAATTTAACAGCAAAAATATAACCTTACTCTCAAAAATAAATGTGTTGTATTTTAACAAAACCAACTAACGTTCAATTACATTACAATCTTCATTAAATTACATTTTCAGTACTTGTAGTATCAATGGACAATATTCAAAGAAATTATTTTAGTTAATTGTATTTTTATCAAATTTTCTAATCACAGTACTGTTCAAGTAAGTACAATGATTAAATCAAGTAAAACACTATCCGTCTTATTACAAAACATAGTTTTTTGATAGTTTCGTGTTTAAACATAGTTTAAGAAGTCTTTCTTACGAATAAGTCCTTTAGCCGCAGCGCTAGTAAACGTAGTGATTATAATTTACTCTTCGTTGGCGCTAAAGCACGGTCGCGGAACATACATTTTTTTATTGCTTTAAATTTTTTAAATTAATTCCCATCATAAAAAGTTTTATTTCTACTGTACTAAGATAGTTTTACGACCTTTTGAACAGTATTTGTGATTCGAAAACCGAGTTTATTTTCGCGTAATTCAAGTTCTAATTTGTATGGATTGCAATAATTTGAAATTCTTCCTGCTCAGCGATCACGCTACAGCCTTCCCAAAATTTTACATTTATTGTAAATTCGCATATTTCCGCGAGACTTCTTTATCTAGTCTTAAACCTAATAATAAACTATACATAATAAAATCGAATATGTTTAAACAATACATGACTTTAATATTAGAAATTATTAGTAGTATTAAGTTTGTCATGACGTACATAATTATCTCAGAATAATAAAAAAAATATACAAGACAACAATGATTAATACATATTATCAAAGATTGACAGATAATTTTCAACAATCGCCGCGATGTACGGCCATGAAATGCGGGGTGCCGTTGGCAAGTATTATAGACAGATAAGGCCTGTCTGCTACGAAGCGAGGCACCGGAGGTGCGTTGAGGATAGCTGAACAGAACATGATGCCCATTGCTGTAATGTAAACATACACATCAGATAGTTCTGAAAAATCAGATATGAGACCTTTTATAAATGGTTTAAATACAAGTCACAAGGGCAGTTAGCCAATCTAAATAAGAGTTCGCTTTCATTTTGCTTTATTTAATACTCATTATCATAATCCTTATTTAGTAGATGATTTATTACATTTTTATGAGGATTAACCTCACGATAATTTAATAGATCTACTTTAAAGAGATATCCTGTTCTTTAAAAAAATTAGTTAAAATCATTTAAATAAATTATATTTTTCATTCCACTAATGAAATCAATATTATCACCTAATAATAAATAAGTACGGTGTTTATAAGCAAACAATCATAAAACGATAAAAATTCAAGCAGTGTTTTACTAAATGAAATGACGTAATTTTATAATGTTATATAGAATACAATTAAATGCAAGTTTTAACATATTACTATTATGTAACATCTAAAGCACACGAAGTTATAAATTCATGAAAGTGGTGTAAAAGCGAAACAATATCGATGCAGAATCTTGGTCAGTTCATTCTATGGCTCGGTAGACTCCTACGAAGAGTGTGTTATTCTGTGAGTCGACGAGCAGGTAGAGGAAGGGATGGTCGGCGCGGAACTGCGGCGACGGCGGCCGCGCGCACCGGAGCATCATCACCATGCCTGTACCACAAAAAAACCAAAGCAAGCAGTAGCACCACTTTATACAACACGCGAGTAATTTTATACATTTTTAGGGACGTTTATATGAAACAAATACAGCGCGCATGGTGCGCGGTATTTCATTCCCTTTAAAAACTTAATTTTCTAAATAAAATGTTGAATGTCATTACAATAAATATTTCCTTTTGTTCTATTCTAAATATTATGTTATTATACTGCATGGTACACAACATTGAAGCGCCTGAGGCTTCTTTCTTAGCAACGAGTCAAACAACGTACTCGTAGTAATTACGTCAGTAGATTACGTTAATTTTAAACAGGTTCTTTGTCCTTGCAATAAATAATTACCCTCATGACTGTTGTGAGAATGATACAATCGTCCAAGTAATATTTAAGTTAAATCGTTTTAAAATTCCCTTATACTCCCAAACACAATAATTATGTCAAAATGCTGAAACTGTTATCACATAACCTCACCGACGTCTCAACAAATCAGATATTGATTGTTATTAAGGCTGATAATATTGAGGCCAGAAAATAGTTAAAAAATTATGAGTAGTAAAAAGCAATTCAAAACACAAAACCCATGTCTAACGAAAATCATTGTTTTTAAACCTTGCCTGAAGGTAAACACCGAGAGTTTCACCAGTTTAAACGTAAGAAGAATGATCTTCTAAGTTACAAACGCTAACTTTTAGACACAAAAATAGTTTCTATATAATATTATGGTGGTCTAACGAAAATCATTGTTTTTAAACCTTGCCTGAAGGTAAACACCGAGAGTTTCACCAGTTTAAACGTAAGAAGAATGATCTTCTAAGTTACAAACGCTAACTTTTAGACACAAAAATAGTTTCTATATAATATTATGGTGGACTCAATGCCTAAGAACATTCCCTGCCAGTCAAATATTAAGCTGAGCAAAGGTAAACAGAAAAGAAGCAGAGCATCTAAAATAAAAATAAAAAATCAATGAAAAACAAGAAAATATTTATACTCCACCAAATCTAAGAAATACAAATACCTTTTGCCGTTTCACATTAATCATTCCGCAATAACTTTGTACAACCCTTTACGTAAATCCAAAGAATTAGTTATGAAGTTACGAGTATGTCTTTACCACCAATTTAAATTCGAACCTTTCTAAACAATTTAAAAAAATAACCAGAATCAACTTTTTTGCTTGACATGATTGCAATTGGCTCACAGCCTAAACGTATGAAAACCAAAAATTTTACTATTTTTTATTAATAATTACTAAAAAATGGAATTGTGAAAAATTATTATTAAATATACTTTAAATTAATTATTATTTCATTTATATATAAATTTGTGGCAAAAAATAATGCAATTTCTCTATGAGGACAACTTTACATTCATTGATGTAAAAAATCTGTGTCAATGCTGTAAAAAAGATTAGAGCTGTTTCAACACATGAAAGGACGTGTTGTGTTGAAACAGCTAGATTAGATTATGTTTTGTTATTTCCATAGCACATTGTCATATGAAATCTTGCTATATGGTAATGCGACTGACGTTGAAACTATCTTTGTTTTGCACAAGAGTCCCTTGGTCCGAAGGAATCCCTTAGAGAAAAATTTAAAGAAATAAATATACTAACTTTTCCTGCTCAATATATTTCCAAATTTTAATGTAAAACAAAATAACATAAATGATTTTTGTTAAAATACCGATGTACATGCTGTAAATACTAGGAACAATTCAGTTAGTTATACCAGTTACTTGACTCCAAAGTCAGTGATTTCTTTATGGAGCAATACGCTTTTACAACAGTCGCAGAAAATATGCAGGCCTTATTTAACAATTATTAAAATATTTATGAAGCAAAAATTGTTTAGTAAGGGTTATTTTACTACTAAAGAGTACATCATCGCTACCATGCTGTTTCTAAGCATTTTCATACTAATTGTAATAAATATTATATAGTAAATTATGCTTCTATAAAAAGTCCCGGCAGGGGTTTCTTCCTGGTTTTTCACAGGACAGCTATTTTTAACCAAGAAATAAATATGAAAAAACTGATAAATATTGTGTTTTGAGTTATTTGTTTATAATTTATTCTGGTAATAATCTAGATAAAACTGTAAATTATTACCAACTCTAAAGAATCGATATCGATTTCTCTTAAGAATCGAATATTGTAGGAACCAATTTTTCAGTTAGAATGGCTAGTTCAGTTTATAAATGTGCCCGATGTCAAAAGGTAATTCTTAGATTTGGTGGAATATAATAGTATTAAATAAGTTACGATCTCGGACAAAAAATCATAAACGTTGACGCACTACAAAAATAGTTTGTGACAAAATATATTTCACGTATCAATTAACAAGGCCAGGGAGAGTGGATAAGCTCATAAAAGAGTAACGTGTTACCTTCCGAGCTTCAGATTGCATTTCGCGTAAAAGGCATTTTTGTCCCTACACATACAGAGTTATTTTGCAATAACCGACCAAATTTGCAGAGAAGGTTCCGAATAAGTAATATAGGCAAATGAAGAAAAAATTAACTAAAAAAATCATCTCAAACATTGTCCTTTTTACCTTTTAAACTCAAAATACTTGATTAATACATTATTTTAACTGATTTTACTACGCACGCACACATTCGTAAGGGTCGATCGGTAGGCAAAAACGTTGTTGCCCATAAATCACATTAAATTTGGGATAATTTAAAATAAAAGTAGAAGCCTTATTTAATCTTATTTCCAAAATCTGCAATAACGGTACATCATTACTTATATATTTGAACTTAAGTTTAAAATTTGGCTACTTTGAAAAATAACCCTGTATATTTACCATGCACTTAACTTTTAAAATCATGGAATTTAAGAAAAAGTTATTGATTATTAAGTATTAACCCCTAATCTATCTCACTTAACAATCAAGTAAAGCAATGTTCAATTACAACAAAGTACATAAATTGTATAGGAAAATATTTTTATAATATCAGATATGCGTATTTCTAGGTCATAAATATTTAGTGTTTTTCGCATTTTTATTTTATCGCTAAGATTTATATTTAGAATTGATAAAAATTTGTTATAACGCTTACAATGAAATATTTTAGAGCAAACAAAGATCGATTAAAACGAATTTTACCATTTGTTAAAACGAGAACTCCGCGTTTAGCATTTGCCTCTATAGAACTATAGAGGCAAATGCTAAACGTGGTTTTGTGGAATAGAAAATTAAACACTATATACATCCTAAGTTGTCAATTGCTTAGTTTATTTATCCATTCATTTCATAAAGGTACACACAGTAAGTATATATAAAACATTCGTACACAACAAATTCATAAAAGACAATGTTCTTAATTCTTATTTACTAAACCAATTGTTATAAATGTACACAACATTATATGAATGTTTTTGGAAAGGTGGAAAGCTTATCTAAAATATTCAAGCTTATTTCAATCTACTGCTTGCGTTAGTTTTAATGCGGCTGCAATTACATTACAGGTCGTCGCGTGGGATGCGCCCCACAGACGGCCTGTACGCTGCCACAACCGCCACCCGGTCCGCAACAACCACACACCACAACGATGGCCGCGTCGCCTTGAACACTTGACTCGGAGGCGACAGCGAACGCTTCTTTCGTATCGCGCCCGCTAGATGCACACGCACAACACAAATTCATACAGACATTGACCACAAACAACCCATCACCAAATATAATGCATACATAAAAAACAATTAATGGTTGCAGATATATTATGACTGCTACTCGAATGGATCAAGTCGGTCAGTGTAGGATCACGCTCTTACAGAATACCAACGTTAAAAAACAGAATAATAGAATAATGCTGCTTTACTAGAAACAAAACATCCCATCTGTCCTCAGGGGTGACAACGCATCTAAATTAATCATTCTTAATCGAGGATAGATGTAAATGTCTATAGGCCACAATATCAATTTACCATCAGGAAGATTGTGTGCTCGCTTGTCACCCTTATTCTATTTAAAAAAAAAACATTATTGAAGGCACTATTATAAGAAATAGATAAGAGGGTGATATACAGAGTTATTTTGCATTAATCGGCCAAATTTGCAGAGGTTCTGAAGTAATATAACTAAGCAAATGCTAAAGAAAGATTTATTTAAAAAAAATCTCCATAATTCTGTCCTTTTTATCTTTTCAATTCAATTCAAAATGCGTGGTAATGCATTATTTTAACTGATTTTACTGCGCACGCACACATTCGTAAGGGTCGATCGGTGGTCGTTAAAATGTTGTTGCTCATAAATCACATTCAATTTGTAATAATTTCAAATAAAAGTAGAAGCCTTATTTACTCGTATGTTCAACAAACTGCAATAACGGTATATCATTATTTAATATATTTGAACTTAAGTTTAAAATTTGGCTACTCTTTGAAAAATAACCCTATATATCCACTCAGACTGGTTAGAAAACCTACCACCTTGTTGTGTCTGTTATAATTCATTTGCATTTTAATGCTAAACGCTAAATTTGAAATAGTATGGTATTGTTGAGCATACAGAAAATAGCTGAGTTACAAAATGGAACACATACATATGTTATTGGCGACCCATAGCTTTTAGGTACATACCTATCATAAATAAATAAATAAATCAGCCAGACTCGACGCATTCACAACAAAATATTCTAATCTCAATTATATATCCATTAGAGCATACGACCAAGGTCCACATCGAATCGGTTTAGCAGACAGAATCACCACACTACTAAGCGGGGTTTGCGAGCCCGGAATTGGTTACGCCGAGAATTATCCATGCTCTTAATTGTACCCAAATATTGTTCTAAAGGCGAACATAATGCTCTATGGCAACGGCTTAAAAATGGTCCGCGAAAGATTTAAATATTTTACCTACCTAATCGTTTTAAATTACACATCTATTATTTTCTCGTTACGCGGGCAGTGCAACACTGCGTGTCACGTTAGTAAGTAACTACTAGATTTTACAATAAATGCACAAATAATACTGTTAATTAATGCTTTTTTTCAGTTTATTATATAATTATGTTAATAGTTGTGATTGTAATTTATTGTTACATGACAGTTTTTTCTTTAACAGTTCAATTGAACATAATGTATGTTCGGAATGCGCAATCTAGTACGTAGTATATATTATATATTGAAGCATTTGACAATTAAATTGTAACCTTGTTTGAACTACCAGTGTTATTTTGAAATGTATAAGAAGTAATCAATTTTGAGTTTTAATTATGTAGTTTTAAAAAGGACTTGAAATCTCTACTATGAATTTATTTATTTACCTTATATTTTCTATTAGCCACTCCCTGCGACTTCGTTCGCGTGGAATTTATTACAATTGGATTTCATGGTTTTAATTATTCTGCACGGAACCCTAATCTTTTTTCTATAATAAAAGTAGTCTATTTCACTCCTTATAACATCAGCTATCTATCTATCAGTGAAAGTCCCGTCAAAATCGGTCCAGCCATTTCGGCGATTAGCCGGAGCAAACAGACAGACAGACCAAAAATTTTAAAAATTATTTTTGTGTTATAAGTACCGTTTATACTTTCATATATATTTAGTAAAAAGTTGTTTTTTTGACATTACAAACAGACACTTCAATTTTATTTATCTGTATAGATTTTAAGTGAACACTACTGCAAAGAACATCGCCCAAATACGACCTGACCAAAATATGAAACGAACACCAATGATTGATACGTCAAGAAATAGTGACTTAGGTGTATATTAAATAACGTGGTCCAACTTATTTTATTGAAGCCGGTAAAATAATTTAGCTTTGTAATGAAAAAGCTCATTTCCTTACTACTTTTTATAGGTTTTGAACGCATCTAAACCCATCCCGTTTTTATCTGTGTTTTTCATCATAACACTAAAGTAACACTACCATTATGCGTTTACTTTTTTAAACACTAGATTTTATTGTAGATTTTTTATTTAGTTTTGTAGTGTATTATCAATAATATCATTTTTAGATGGGGATATTCCGAAATAAGTTGCAAATGATGGTTGACAGTAAATATAAAATAAACTAATACTTAGAACGGAACGTATTATGAGTGTCTCTATGCAGTCTGTGGAATTATGATACGAAAGCTGTCAAAGCGTGAGCAAAAGTCAAAGAAAAGAAAAGATTAGAAAGGTTATTGATTAATTTTTGTGGTTTTAGCCATTGACTTGACTTATTTAGTTAATTATATATTAATGCATAGTTTTCATATCAATTGTTTTAGCTGAGGTTGTAGTCATGGCTGCAGTCATGGCTACATCATAACCTCAAAAGTGACGAAATACATAAGTGTAGCGTTCTATGATCCTCGGCTTTTAAATAATATATTTTCAGTTTAGGATTTAGATTGGGCCCAGGGGGAACGGATTAATCCATACACTAGTCATGTTCGCGATGTTTTATAACCAGGTCACAGCATGTACGAGGGCTGCACTAAAAGTATCGGGAATAGAATATTTCCACTGTTCCTGTCATATTAAAAATCTTTTTAATTGAAAACTCCTTGGTTTTGAAAATCGAATACCATTTATTTATTTAAAAAAAGATTCTCGGTCTTGTCACACACAAGGTTTTGTCAAACTTGTTTAGTCGTTGAGAAAATGGAATTGACTGGAGAAAATTCAAGAGCGATGATTTATTATGACTTTCGAAGTGGTTTAACACAAAAACAGTGTGTTGACCGGATGATTTCTGCATTTGGTGATGAAGCCCCATCCAAAACCACAATTTATCGCTGGTTTGCTGAATTTCAACGTGGACGTGTCAAGCTCAGTGATGATCCCCGTCAAGGTCGTCAAAAAACTGCAGTCACCCAAGAAAACGTTGATGCTGTGCGTAAGCTGATTGAGGAAGATCGACATGTGACATACCACGAAATTCAGGCAACTTTAGACATTGGCATGAGTCAAATACAAATAATCTTGCATGAACAATTAGGTGTAAAAAAGTTATTTTCCCGATGGATACCGCATTCGCCCTGTGAAGAGCAAAAAGCGGCTCGCGTTACTTGGTGCGTCAGAACTCTCGAAAGATTCCACGTAGGATCCTCAAATTGCTGTGTACAACATCGTATCAGGTGACGAATCCTGGATATACGCGTACGAACCAGAAACAAAAAACCAGTCACGAGTTTGGGTGTTCGAAAATGAGTTAAAGCCAACAAAAATTGTTCGTTTACGGAGTGTTGCAAAAAAAATGGTGGCCAGGTTTGTCTCCAAAACCGGCCATGTGACGACTATTCCTCTTGAGGGACAAAGAACGGTTAATGCAGAATGGTAAGCTAGCATTTGATTGCCACAGGTCGTTTCTGAACTCCGTAAAGAGAACTGCAATCGCCGCATCATCCTCCATCACGACAATGCGAGTTCTCACACCGCACACAGAACAAAAGAGTTTTTAGAGCAAGAAAATATAGAATTATAAGACCATCCGCCGTACAGCCCCGACCTAAGCCCTAATGATTTCAATACTTTACCTAAAACAAAGAATAAATTGCGTGGACAGAGATTTTCATCACCTGAAGAAGCTGTGGACGCCTACAAAACGGCCATTTTGGAGACCCCAACTTCCGAATGGAATGGTTGCTTCAATGATTGGTTCTATTGTATGGAAAATGTGTCAAATTTCGCGGAGAATACTTCGAAAAACAATAAATACATTTTTAAATAGTAATGTTGTGTCACTTCCTTGATTCCCGAAATTTTCAGTGCCGTGACCGATGTTCTTTGCTCTAAGTGATTGTAGAGTAAAAAAATAATTAAATATGTAGTGTAATTCAACGTCAAATGTTACATTTTTGAGAAAGATTTGGTTATATTGTTATTACTTATAAGAAACATAATAAATTTAAAGAAAATTCGACAGTTATTTATGAAATATCGAATGAACATAAAATGATTTGATTTTTCTGAAGGATAAATATAAGGCCGCGTAATATGTTTATACAATTGTTAAATCGATCAAACTGTTTACTCTAGTTGGGTGCTTCCGACGATTTCATGACGATTAAACTGTTTGGTCGATAATGTTGCGCAATACAGTCGTTGTCAATGTCGAGAGTTTATATAATAATAATAAAGAGTTTTATTTGTCTCAATTCACACATGGTAGTTAAAAGTGTACAAAAAAATTATCACAAACTTATCTAGCAACATGCTTAAGTAAAAACATACATAAAAAATGAGACAAAGTGGCCAGCATTACTCTGCTGTTTGACACTGGTATTCTGCGAGAGCGTGGTCCTACATTTGTCAAACCAACCCATTAGTGCTGCAGCTACATTTGGATGCAGTGCGGCTTTAACACGTAAACGTGAGCTGTCTGAGCCGTCTAATCTAATCTAATCACAAAGCAATCCATATAGTTTTTTACCTAGCAACTATCTAGTTTATAATACTCGGACATCCATACATTCTTATCAATTAAATTGTATGTATTGCACCTAGCGTAATCGTTTATGGAACAATGCGTCGAAATATTAAAGTATATAATATGAAAATAGTAGTAAACCGCAAAACAGTAGTATTGAACCGATTCTTTATTAATTTGTTAATTTCTCGTTAAGTCAAGCTGTTCTGATATAGAATAAATTACTTTAAAGTAATTTATTTGGAAGTAAAGACTTTAGAAATGAGTTGGGGGTGACGAACTTTAGGCCTAGTCAGTTTGAATAGCCTATCATGTAGAAGATGTCATGGGGGCCATGGTTGAATAGGGGCAAAAGTTCTCATTACAGTCCTAGGGTGACCCCTTAGCCAAAAAACCAAAAATAATTAAAAATTCTTATTTCGGCTATAATTCCGCCCCCTTCGGAGGTTCTTACACAGTCTTTACTTCCCGCATCCCATTTGTTCTTTTATGACTCTTGTGACTCTTGTTTTAACACCATTTGGAGTTTTCTTTGGAAACTTACTTCATCTACTGAAATACTGCTTATAAATAAGTATAACAACTGTGGGGCGTCACTGTTTTACCAAAGCAACTACTTTTATTCACTAGAAGTTGAAATCGTCAAATTATTAACTATAATTAAATATCAAATCTATATATTCTACGATCCGCGCGCAGACGGTTTAAGGAGAAGCGTTGCTTTAGCAGTTTATCGTGTAGTGGCGGTGAAAGAATATCCACTACCCCATATCGTACCGTAGGTGTGGTAAGAGGCAACACATGAAAATAAAGCACATAATGGGCAGCAGTGTCTAACTAATAACAACAAAAAAGAAAAAAAACTGCCAACCCGCCTAAAAAGCGTGGTAACTATGGCAAATATCCTCCCTATGAAGTAATCAATAGGGATGTCTATCAGTGGACTTTTAATAGAATGTAACGGTTGCCAGCAATACTGAGTAAATAAGCGCAGAACGCGGTCTGAAAAAGTAGAAGGGGTGTTCAGAAAACCTTCTGCGCACGGCATATATGCAATTTAGTGCACATAAAAAGATAACTAAATTATCTAACTTACCCGTAGCCGCGGCAGCTTCTGCGCCCTCTTCGTTGACCTCAATAAATGCTTTCTGTACAGCCTTAGAAACATACAAAACTTCATTGCCGTTCATGATCTTCGTGAGCCCCGAATTGTCGCGATCAAAGATTGCCTTTATGCCAAGCTGGAAGCAAATATTTTGTTATAAATCGTTCGTTTTTTACTATTCAATCTCTTAAAAAAAATAAAAAATATACTTCAATATTATGTTTGTGACCCACATATTAGGTTAATCCAGCAATCTAAGAACAAATAAAAGCAATTACATTAGTAATGTTATTTATCGAATCTGCCTAATGTTCAAATCTATATGAATTGCGTATTCAAACCGAGTGAAAAAATGACTAATAATTTAGCTATACAAACTGCGCTTGCGACCTTGTTCGTGTATTTCTATTTCTATAAATCAATATCAAAGTGCTACGATGACGCAAAACACTAACTTCCCAAAACTGTCTACTACTAACAAATATTTTTATTATAAAATTGAAGTGATGGCTAGTGGCTACTGGAACCCATGGACGACTGCCATCGACAATACCAAGAAGATTACAGATGCGTTATACTAGCTCTATATTCTTCAGACCGTAAAACAGCAGTAATCTTAAATTCTATGTAAGAGGTACCAAAAAATTAAAATAACACATTTTATTTATGTGTACGACGTAGAAATAAGTTCGCGCTATATTTCATAGTGCAAATACATAAACATTACAGTAGACTCGTGGTAATTCAACAAACGTTTTGCAAGGCGGTGTCGAATTATCAAACTTAACGGACTATAGAGTACTGCCATAACCTCCTAGTAATCCGGAACTTTTCGAAAATGAGTACCTTGTAATCCGACAAATTACATATCAGTTAGATAATAACAAAAAAGTCATGTGATGTACAATGAATATCTAAACAGCAAATGATGAATGCCCGCTATTCCGTCAGCTACCAGTCACATTTAAACTAAGCAAATACGTGGCAAGCTATATTCGTGCCGAGAACTAATTGCAGCCTGTTTGTCCACGTATTCGCGAAGGACACCTCCCTCATAGCGGATTCATAACTTGACTCGATTGTAACTACATATTAAAGGCATATCGGATTACAAGGGGTGGCGGTTTAGCCAGGGGTCAGATTACCGGGGGTCCACTGTATTTGCCAATTTAAATGTTATTAATAGAATCAGGCGTTACATTGCGGAAATCCATTATATAAAAGGTTTTAAAGTTATTTTGCAAACATCCGCTCTATAAAATAAAATGATGTGTCTTACCTAGTATGAAGAGCACCTCCCGCCCTCCCTCAATTGCGTGCTCAATCCCCGTCACCACTAATCCCAGCACAACTACTCCCAACATCACTACACTACGAAAGACACACCACTGACGACAATACGGCACGTGTTTCTCCTCTACACGAGGCATCCTCAGGTGATGTAGACTCTACGGTGGCTGACCGTAAAGTTTCAGACAGTGGTGTGTCTTTCCTAGTGTAGTGGTGTTGGAAGTAGTGGTGCTGGGATTAGTGGTGACGGGGATAGTGCACGCAATTGAGGGAGGGCGGGAGGTGCTCCTCATACTAGGTAAGACACATCATTTTATTTTATAGAGCGGATGTTTGCGAAATAACTTTTTAAAACCTTTTATAATTTAAATGTTGATTTTCTAGGTAATCACGGTATAGAAATCACGACAAAAGAAACAATTAAATTTCGAAGAACACTTTTCTGCGCTCTTCCCCGTTCCGTAACCCTTGGACGGTAAAAAAAACAACAACTATTTGAGAATGGCTTTGAGTCTCCTCCTAATAATACATCAGCTGCAAGATCAGCAAAAGCGCATTCGCTAATAATTTAATTAACTTTTTAATTAAGATCACATGATTTGATTATAGTCCCCCAAACCGAATTTCGGTCACGGTGGCCAGTCCATCTGCGCAGGACGGGATTATAGTACACTGTACTCACTCTCATAGTCCGGTGAGACGAAAATCCTATACAACCAACAAAGAGAGCTCAGTCGTAGGAACAAGGACTTTACGAGCTTTCCGACGCACGGGAGTGAAATACAGCCAACCGTGATTCTAAACCCGTAGCACATGATCGGCAGTTGCTGTTACGGCCACTAAATCAACGGGGCTGACCGTAAAGTCTCAGACAGTGGTGTGTCTTTCGTAGTGTAGTGATGTTGGGAGTAGTTGTGCTGGGATTAGTGGTGACGGGGATAGTGCACGCAATTGAGGGAGGGCGGGAGGTGCTCCTCATACTAGGTAAGACACATCATTTTATTTTATAGAGCGGATGTTTGCGAAATAACTTTTTATAACCTTTTATAATTTAAATGTTGATTTTCTAGGTAATCACGGTATAGAAATCACGACAAAAGAAACAATTAAATTTCGAAGAACACTTTTCTGCGCTCTTCCCCGTTCCGTAACCCTTGGACGGTAAAAAAAACAACAACTATTTGAGAATGGCTTTGAGTCTCCTCCTAATAATACATCAGCTGCAAGATCAGCAAAAGCGCATTCGCTAATAATTTAATTAACTTTTTAATTAAGATCACATGATTTGATTATAGTCCCCCAAACCGAATTTCGGTCACGGTGGCCAGTCCATCTGCGCAGGACGGGATTATAGTACACTGTACTCACTCTCATAGTCCGGTGAGACGAAAATCCTATACAACCAACAAAGAGAGCTCAGTCGTAGGAACAAGGACTTTACGAGCTTTCCGACGCACGGGAGTGAAATACAGCCAACCGTGATTCTAAACCCGTAGCACATGATCGGCAGTTGCTGTTACGGCCACTAAATCAACGGGGCATCCTATCATTTGATAATATTACTATGATGTACGATATGTTAGTATGTATATAAAATAAGTTTATGAATACAAATTATGCCATAGGAATGTATGTTATAATGATGGATATAAAAGGTACAAAACTGACAATGGGTATAATGTTAGCAAAACATATCGTTAATTTCAGGAACAAAATTTGTTATCTTTAGCTTGAAATGAATGTAACACTGATAAAAACATTGAATTTCTAAATCACTACATAGATTAAATTCAAAGTATTTTGCAGTCTATCTTATCTTGTAAGTATTCCGAAAGGAATATTTTTATTAATAATAATAATGTTAATGAACTACGAGAACCATGGTAGACCAGGGGCTAAGGGCTCGCCGTAAATGTACAGTACGCGAGCTGCCCGGGTTCTATCCCTCCGGCACCAATGAAATTGTTTATTGCAATGGTAATTTGTTTGTTGCTTAATTACCACGCGCTCGGTGGTTAAGTGAAATATCGTGAGGAACCTGCATATCTGAGAAATAAAAAAGATATTTGGAAGACGTATTACGTGGTAGAGCCATGCTACAGCTATATTAATTGTATAGTTGTAGCACGAATGGGTCGGCTCGACCGGGGAAGGACCACGCTCTCACAGAATACCAGCGTAAAATAGCATCATTAGCTGCTATTTTACGCAGGTATTGTTTTCTCTCTATTGTTTCGTATGGCGAGTGTAGATACCCTTTTTACTGGAAAATGGCGATTTCCACCTTAGTCCTCACGGCTGACAACGCATCTACATTTTGATTCGCATACGAGGACAGATGTAGATGTCTATGGACTAAAGCAACCACTTACCATCAGGTGGACTGTGTGCTCGCTTGTGACCCTTATCCTATAAAAAAAATGTACTTGTCCAGTGTGGGACGTATACAGGAGGTAACTTTAATGTCCGTAACATTGAATAATACAAATTTCAAGAAATACTGATTAATTTATCAAATTGATAAATAAATAATTTTACAATCTACACGGTCAACATGATATTGATTACAAGGTAAGTATAAATATTTAGATTAAATATAATAAATAAAAGCAGTTTAGAATTTATTAAAAAGTTAGAGCCATTTTTTATTTAAAGGTATAAAGGAAAAGTTGCAGCGTTATATATATCTCTGTTTGGGTCAGGCTTTTATATTTCAGGGAGCGTTATGAGTAAGAGAAAAGAACAATAGAGAAGTTGCATCATTTTTTTGCCACAAATTTATATCTAAATGAAATAATAATTGATTAAAAGTATATTTAAATATTCTTTATTTATAAAAAAATCCATTTTTTTAGTAATTATTAATAAAAATTAGTTCAATTTTTAAATGAAAAAAACGACCTGATTGGTTGTGACGTCATTCGTTGAGTCATATCCGTTGAGGCTGTGAGCCAATCGCAATTATGCTATAAAACTTTTGTACTTTCTATAATTTATTATACAATGGCAATTTTTTTTTAATTTTGACTACGGAAACATAAGTGCTTGTTATATCATTTCACCATACGGTGGCGTTACTAAAGCAATATAATGACGTCACTGGCGTTTGAATTTACATTTTAGATTTTTAGAAAAACCATTTTTAATTGTCAAATTACATGAAAAATCAATTTTTTTTTCTTTCTTAATAATTATTTTTGGCGGACTAATAGAGATTAGTACCCCGCATTTCTTCAGTGTTTGTTGGTGGACTCGTCATACTTTATGCTTTGTAAATGCAGATTTCCACAGTAAATTAGCACTTAAAACTTGACATCAAACTAAAACACTTTTTATCTTATTATAAAGTGCTATCAAATTGTTTGCTTTGCTATCAATTACAATTAACAATAACATTGGTACCAGTATGGATTGCTCGCGTAATGTGAAATTTAGGGCGAATGCTTAGCTTCGGAGATATCATAGCCCTTACTATCCATTAATACAAATTATTTTTATATCAATTTCATTCTTCAGCTTCACAAAACCTTTAGGTAACTACCTGTCATCTGCCAATATATTGTAGGTATTAATATTAATAAAAAAAACCTTGATTACCTTTGGAAGCAAATCCGCTAAATCAATCTCAGTCTCAATCTTGAACTTGGGAATGGTGACCTGTACTTTAGTGTTAAACATTTTGTCCACTTCGCCCAATAGATCATAGCCGTCGGCTAGTTTTTTTAACACGTTATTCAGCCCGTTAATCTCATTAGGGAGAACAATCAGCATGCTAGCTTCCTCACCTACGTAATGCATTTTTAATAACTGTAACAAAACATAATAAACTAACAATCACTGTTAATTTTTAATTCTCTTTAACAGAACTATAACATCGATTAACGACAAGCAAAAATACATAAAAATGGAAAATTAAAATATATATTGGTATACACGTGAAATCTTTTTTGTTATGTATAACTCCAGCTATAATATTTTTTTGGTATATAGCTTTGAAAAATTTTAGTCTTTAATTGAAATAAAAATAATATTAATAACTTGAGGGACACTCCATAATCTAACTGAAATATCCAATAATTTCTACTAACGCCCCCAATGTACATCTAAATTCTAAATAGATGACAACACAAAGCAGTATATACTTTCCCCTTTTGACCAAATCAGGTTAGTAACAAATAAAAATATTATCATTGCGTAGAACCGTAATGAATCATAATTGGAATTTACGTATTACACTTTTATAGCAGTCGATCATATTACAATCACCGACCGATAAATTGCAAACGCTAAGAGGACGCCGATTGCAAACAGATGAATATACAATCCGCAATAGACACATCGCAACTATTGGATTAATGGCGGTGTAATAAGGTCCACTATCGCATATCGTCCGTGTGTCGTGACAGGCGACAGAGAGAAACACAACAGGAGATGGGCAGCAGGGTCTCAATGACAACTAAAAATAAATATAATTTTAAAATTATTATATTTTTTATAAAATTTTCAATTATTAATTTTTTTTAAACATAACTCAAAAACTATTGGTCTGACCTTGATCAAAATTATATGGGACCACATGTGACCACTTTCAAATAACCAGTGTACCAGCTTTCAAATAAAAAAAGAATCATCGAAATCGGTTCACTCGGTGAAAAGTTATGAGGTAACACACGTAAAAAAAAACATACAGTCGGTTTGAGTACCGTCTCCTTTTTGATGTCGGCAGAAAAATAAACTGCCGTTAGTAACCCGCCTTCCAAGCGTGGCAACTATGGCAAGTATCTCCCAATGAGGCTATGGGAGAGGCCCAGTGGACTTTGGTGGGTTGTAACGGTAATAGACACATCACATTGGTTAAATAATTACAATCTATTTTTTTTATTATGGTTAAGCGTCTAGAATCGGCTGCCCTTTAAGATAACTCGTCAGTAGTGTTGCCCAAAATCGGTCTTGGTCTTGCAGTCTTGGTCTTGTTCTTGCATATTTGCAAGACCAAGACCAAGAACAAGACCGCCTCTTTTTCTCTTTTTAGCAAGACCAAGACTAAGACTGACCGTGCAAGATTTGCGCAAGAACAAGACTAAGCTTGCGAGACTCTTGCGTCTTGCAGTTAGGACTAAGTGTCGTTTCAGGGAGTATAGGAGTTCGGGTATACGCTTAGGGACTCTACGAGACGCAAAAAAATATAATGAAAAAAAATTGGAAAATTGGACTTATGCGCACTACGAACAATACCATAAATATACACATAGCGAATGAAAATATCCATTAAAAGAAAAAAGAGTGCATCCCTAGTTTTGACCATCGGCACTTTGATAGTGCGCGGCGTCTTGTTGTCGGCGTCATCAAAGGTCGGATACTGACCTGTCAAAGAAATTGTGCAGCTATTCGAAAGTACAAGGTCAAGATACACGTGCCGGCGGCTACTATTGATATCGCATACAATCGTCGCCGCCGCGCCACACGCACTACATTTGACACTGTCTGATTGCCGCCACAGAGTACATGTTTCAAATAAAAAATAAGTTTCCGAGTGCTCAGAATGGACACGAATACATTATCCTGATCTTGCAAGAAATATTGTAATTAGATAATAGGTAGGTATCATAATAATTTATTCTAGTAAGTAATTATTATAAAATTAACTATATGGATTTATAATAATTACTTACTATTATTGTTATTATTATTACCTAAAAGATAAACATGTTCAGTAAGTTCACTGCAAATCTCGACTTTTTCAAGTGTGTGTTTTTAAAACACAAAGTGCTCGAATATGTCGTCACACATTTGATAAATATGGTTGACACCATAGCACTTTTAAAACACTTGAAATGTGTAAAAATGGATCTGGATCATGTCTTCAAGGCTTACTTATTAAGGAGTTGGAGGGGTACCTAGGTAAACCCAGAGCCGTCATCTCGGAAGACATTTTAGACTGTTGGAGGACGCATGAGACAAAATATCCGATTTTATCGAAGATGGCCCGTGATTTTCTTTTAATACCTGCAACTTCAGTACCTGCTGAGAGATTATTTTCTAAAGCATCATTAGTAATTAGAAAACATAGAAATAGGTTAAGTGATGAGTCAGCCAGATGGTTACTTTGTATTAATGCTTTGTCAAAAGAATAAATATAAAGTAACAGTAATGTCAAAGCTGTTGTGTACATACTGTGAAGTAATTTAATTGGCATCGTATTTTATTTTTTATTTAAATAAATGGTATATTGTATAACTCTTTTATTCAACTCGGCTGGGCAGCGTTCGGGAAGCTACGACACATCTTCTCGTCAGACATACCTCAAAACCTGAAAACGAAATTGTACAACCAGTGCGTGTTGCCAGTGATGACTTATGGAACTGAGACGTGGTCCTTCACTGCTGGCCGTATGAGGAAGCTCAAGGTCACTCAGCGAGCTATGGAGAGGGCTATGCTCGGAGTTTCTCTGCGTGATAAACTTAGGAATGAGGATATCCGCAGTAGAACCAGAGTAACCGACATAGCCCAACGGATTAGTAAGCTGAAGTGGCAGTGGGCCGGCCATATAGCTCGAAGAACCGACAACCGATGGGGAAGAAAGGTTCTCGAGTGGCAGCTTCGTACCGGTAGGCGAAGTGTAGGGCGTCCCCCCACGAGATGGAGTGACGACCTGGTAAGACATGCAGGAAGTCGATGGATGCAGGTGACTCAGGACCGTGCTTTGTGGCATTCTTTGGGGGAGGCCTATGTTCAGCAGTGGACTTGTGAAGGGCTGTAATGATGATGATGATGATGATAACTCTTTTATTCCATTTCATATATGGTGAGGGTTCATCAATCTCTTTCTAAAGAGATAATGTTATTTAAAATACAGTGTAGTTTATTGCTATTAATTTGTTTTTATATGTATGTTTAACCATGTTTTAGCACATGTAAGCTTATTAAATGTAAACGTTTCTTAAGAAACTGACGCCCGTGGCCGTGGGACACGGTAGATAGCTCAGTTGGTTAGAGCATCGGCACGGATCGCTTAGGTCGTGGGTTCAAACCCCACCCGGTGTCAGTTGATTTTTCGAATTTCTCATTAAATGTTTAGACATTTATTAATATGGTTGGTCTTTACTATGGCTATGTTAATTCAAGCTCAATCAATGTACCTACTCTGTTAAGTTGTTCTAAGATCTAAAGTAGTTTAATAAATAGTAATAAGCTAATAGGTCATTGCAAGACTTGCGAGACTCTTGCTGCAATACCAAGACCAAGACCAAGACTAGGGGCGCAATACCAAGACCAAGACCAGGTGTATTGGCGCAAGACCAAGACCAAGACTTGCTAAGTCTCGTCTTGTTCTTGCATTTGGGCAACACTACTCGTCAGCAAAAGTTAAAACATCCCATCAGCAAATACACATTTAAGCAGAAAATTTGGACTCATTTTTTAGATTTGATATTCATCATGATCATTATAGTTGCTTTTTTATTGACCATGTGTCACACATACAATATACTTTGTATATACAGTACGTATATATATATGACATTTTTTTATTTTTTTTGACAGAATATAAAGTTGCAGGCGGTGTGCCGTCATGAAATACTGTCCCACTCTGTTAAGCACGCCAAACTATTAAAAGGGACTATACTCTTCCAAGTGACCACGAAAGTGCACGTCAGTCGATAAGTCGACGCTGAGGATTCCAATACTGGCTGAGGCAACAAGGGGAGTGCCTTGAAACTGAGGAGATACGACAAAAGGGTTCTTTTTAGCGGTAAACGCGCAAATTTGTGTCTTTTGGGGATCAAACTGGACTAGATTTAGTCGCCCCCAATCCGAGACTTTGTTCAGCAAATACTCGACTTCAGACACAAGTTTGTTCTGGTACTCGGCGACGTTTTCCCGAGAAACATTGGCACAGCCGGTGTATAGAGCATCACCAGTGCTGTCATCCGCCTAGCAAGGAATGTTACCGGTTTGCAACATATCATTGATATGCAGTAGAAACAGCGTTGATGATAGCACGCAGCCTTGTGGAAAACCAGTATTAATAGGCTTAAAATACGAGCATGCACCGTCTACTATGACCTTGATGCTCCGATCTGCAAGAAAGCTGATGATCCCATTGCACAATTTTTCGGGAAGCCCATATAAAAGGAGCGCATTATGCCAAACCCCATCGAATGCCTTCGCAATGTCCAAACTAACGGCCAATATCTTCCCCTTGGATTCTACTGTCTACGCCCATCTATGAGTCAAGTAGACCCGAAAATCACCAGCTGATCGACCCCGAGGAAAACGGTATTAGCGGTCACTAATCAGCTGGTTATCCACAAGGTACCGCATGAGCTGGCAGTTTATACTGAATTACATTATTTTGGAGAACAAGGAGGTGATGGCGATAGGCCTGCAGTTAGCGGGTCTAAGGGGTCACCTTTTTTAGGGATCGGGTGGACGAAAGCAGTCTTCCATGAATTCGGGACTACGCCTAGGGAGTAGGAGTACCGGAAAAGACGCGTTAGAACCGGCGCCAACTCTGGAACACACGTCCTCAGCACAATTGGAGGGATTCCGTCAGGCCCACTCGACTTGTGGATGTCTTGAGAGAAGAGTGCTTTGAGAACCGCTGTGTGAACCATACATCCGGCATGGAGCACTCACACCGCGGGATGGTCGATGGTGTGCTCCCCCCGTCATCGAGTCCTTTACGGAATGGGTCACTGAGTCGTCCTCTCTGTGCAGAGATGGCAGAGATGACTGACAGAAGTTCTCTTGGACAGCCTTGGCGAGAGGCCAGAATGCACGGGTTTCCGAAGGAAGGCGAACTGTTTCTCGCCAATTCTGCCGATGTGTGATGTGTCAGTCCAGGCCTGGTAGTCTATATAAGCCTTCGACATTATGTCGCTGCCCTAAAGTTGACTGGCAAAGAAAACATTTAAGCATGAAACCCGCTTTTTGTTCCTACACATTGTGTAAGGTTGAATAAAGAGTAAATAAATAAAGTATTTATGGCAATTTATAAAAACAGCAGTGTTACACAGTATAAGTAAAAGGAAAAAATATGTTACATCATTTTTATATTTAAAAAATACTAATATTTAATACTGTTAATATTATTAATATTCTCGTTAACCAATTCAAGTTAGCTTAAAATGCAAGTATTAAAAGTTGACAGTAGTTGCGGATTTGAACTCACGACTTTTAAATTTGCATTTCATACCTTTAACCATTAGATTACTGCAGCTTCATGTCAAATCCCCACAAGATTTAAAATAAAACATTTTGTTCCTGCATTACAAGGTTAACTATGTGATGTTATACTTATGAAAAGCAGGTTAAGTTTGATGCCCATAGAAAAATAGCTTTCATTTAAATGATTAGTTTAAAGGACAAACTAGTAAAACAAAATTGTTTTAGCAAAACTTTAACCATTACATAATCCACATTGGATAAAAAGTTCCAGTCATAGGATAAACGAACTTATTTAAACGTATGACTCATGTGCATGGTAATACTCACATCTGTTTGTTATTCTAAAATCTAAACTATTCCACGCGAATGCTTGGATATTTTCACTTTATATTTTGAATTATTATATGGATTGTTATATTCTAGACCAGCTGTTCCCCGTGTCTTCACCCGCGTGGAATTCGTTACATGAATTTTATAGGTTTTAATTTTTTTTTACGTGGAACCCTAACTCCTTTTCTAAAATAAAAGTAGTTACTCCTTATATTACCAGCTATCTGCTAGTGAAACTCCCGTCAAAATCGGTTCAGCCGCTTCTGAGACTAGCTGGAACAAACAGACAGACAGACAAAAATTATAAAAATTGTGATTTTGTTATAAGTACCGTATAACCTTTCATATGCATTTAGTTAAAAGCTGTTATTTTGACATTACAGACACTTCCGTTTTATTTATTTGTATGATGAAATATTTTATGGGTTTACATAAGAAAGTTGTATTGATCATAATAAAATAAACATAAAAGCTGAAGGCTATGTTATCAGAATGTCAAACACCTCACTCACCTGTAACCATTGCAAAGAATTTGAAATATCTATACAAATAAATAAAATTGAAGTGTCTGTTTGTAATGTCAAAATAACAGATTTTTACTAAATGTAAATGCATATGAAAGTATACATATACGGTACTGATAACAAAACCACAAGTTTTTAAATTTTTGTCTGCCTGTCTGTCTGTTTGTTCTGGCTAATATCTTGTAATATCTTGTATACATGTTAAAATGGCTGGACCGATTTTGATGGGACTTTCACTGGCAGATAGCTGATGTTATAAGGAGTAACTTAGGCTATTGTTGTTTAAGTAAAATTTGGCGCATTCCGCGCATAAAAATTAAAACACATGAAATCCGATCGTAATAAATTAAAAGCGGGCGAAGTCGTGGGGAACGGCTAGTTGGAAATATAATAATAAAAAAGTTAAACATGATAAGATTTAATATTTTAATTCATAGGGTATAATATTGCCAATGGCTACCATACCGCCATGGCAGGCAAGTAGATTGACTATTGCAATCAATACACAGGACAATATGAGACCGATGATGCATTTTCTTACACTAGTATTTACAGTTTAAAGCAACCGTTAAACAATCCTTCATCTTAAAGAACCCTATTGAAGTTCTGGCTGTAACTTGACAGCAAGGCAGACAAGACAGACAACTGTAAAGTAGCAACAGATCTGTTGCCCTGTATTATTTTTTAAATCTTGATTTGGACTTTGAAAAAAATCCACTTGATTTTGATATGCAGTACAAGATTATAATGCATGTATAAATATGCAAGCTCAAGTGCATTCTCCAGTCCCTCTCTCTAGTAGGCCCATGGGATGGCTATCCAGCGTGATCAGAGGGCGATCAGACGCTAGGGTTAAAACCCTCCAGCTTCCTGACTCCAGGGTTGCTACTGTGAATTTCTAGACTGAAAAAGCCAATAACTGATTATGGCCCAACCTGGGATTTGAACCCAGGATCTCATAATCAATATTCACACTTATAGTCTAAAAAGGCAGCCAGTGTGTACCCAATTATTGGCATTGATATTTTGTAATAATTGAAATTAACAAGTTTAAAGCACAAAGTACATAATATAGTTATAAAATTTATAACTAGCTATACCTGAGCTCCAAGTTCTTGACTCTCCCCATATGTGTAGTCATCTTCCTTGTACATCATTGGCACCATTATCGTTTTTTCTTCATCAACATGGAAGGGTTGATCCATAGTATTGGCTAAGTCAAACTGTTTCTTCCACGTTCCCTGCAAATAGAATAAAATAAGCTTTTGGCTATTCATACAAATGGTTAATTTTTATCTCAAATGATAAACTTTACCTTAAAATAGAGAGCGTTTACTAAAACCAATCTACTATCACTGTTAAGGCTGTCACTTGAAAGAAGATCTTTAATTCTTTCATTGGTTTTACTTTCAACCTGTAAACAAAAAGATGTATATGTATTTCAATTTTTTTTTATATATTTATGATTACCTTTATAATTGTATTACATGCCAATGCCTTTCTTAAAAGCTTTGAGCAAACTACATAATCAGGTGACATTTACCCATTTATTGATAGTGTTAGCAGCAGTAGCACCATCATCAAAATTTATCTTTTCAAAAGCTGCATCAAAAATCTTTACAGCATCTTCTTTTAGTTTTGGTTCCAGATCATAGTCCCCTTCCTTTATATACACCTTGTTTGCTACATTTAATGTCACACCTTTAATAGATTTCAATTTAGATGACACTACAGAAAATGATGAACGAATCTGCAAAAACAATAAGTTATTTTTCTAAACCATAAAAGCATATTGAATATAAATTTTTCACAATTAAAAAAAGAATGAAAGCTATTCTTTATATAAATATTTTATAAACAAAATGATATATTTATTCCAATTGAAAATTGAGAATAATTATTATGTTAATTTTTAACTAAAAATTTAACTTTTGACCAGGGATGTTGCAGATGTACAATTTATTACATCTATTAATGTGAATGAAGATGCTAAATGCAAATGTGAATCTTAAGTTTTGGTAAGATATAATCACTTCAACTATGTGCATAAGTGAAAAAGATATTTATTCATTCATTCTTTCTTTACAACCTATCAAAAGTCTACTGCTGAACATAGGCATAAGGCCGCCCTCTAAGATTGCCTCATAAGAATCTTTCCTATCCATAAAAACACCCTCTGACTACTGCAAGTGCAAATGTATAAATCAGTGTAAAATTTCCGTAGATCTACATGTATATGCAGATGCAAATATCAACAACATCACTGCTACTTACAGATTCATCATCAGGAATCCCAAGGGTTGTCAATAACTCTTCATGTGCAGGATCAGTTGCACCCAAAGTTAAAAGTGCTAGCACAAATTCAGCGGATAATGGTGAAGAAACAACACTTTTACTTTTATCTAGTTCCTAAAACAATTGTAAATTCAGCTTATTATATGAAAAAGTTATTTGATGTAGATAAATAATATACAAAATAAAATATTGCAATTATATTACTTACATTACAAAACCTTGCTGAAAACTGAGCAATTGATGAAGTCATAGATTTCTCATCCATTTTTTCCGTTGATATTGAGTTAAGCGAAATAAGTATTAAAAATACTGCAACTGAAATATAAATATATCGTGAAACGTTTAGTACCTAATCTCAACGTACTAGTGGAGAATTAGAACTGAAGAGTTAAGATATATAGGTATGAAAATGTAAATTGTGAACCCATAAATGTCAATCCTGAGGTTTTCCGAATCGATGTTCGATGTATGAAATTCCGTGGCCGCAGAATAAGTGGGCGCGCCTAGCACAACACGAAACTACAATTATGCGGCACAATCGCTATCGTAATAGGATGATTCATTTAAAGCAGATGCCGATATAAATAATAATGCAATTACCTACAGCAACAGAACTGAAGGACACAAAATTTTTGCCGAAGTAGGACACAAAAATATTTTTTACCTATCTCACTCAATATCCTCATCTACAGTTAATATAAATATGACACTACCAAACGTTTACTGATTAATTTTGCACATTCACTAATAGAACGTGAAAATATACTAGGTAACAAATATTTTTGAATGTACAAGTTTAGTTTTTCTGTATTTTAATATTTTTCTGACAGATTACTGTATATATACTAGAGATAGAGACAGTGACAGACTATCCCCTACCCCTATATATAATGTACTCTGTGCAGACTACTAAAGATTAGGGATGTAAACAAATAATCGATTTTCATATTAAATAGTCGTAATAATAAGTCGATTTTTTTGATAATATAAATCGATTATGTAAATTCCCCTTTTTATCGATTTTTTTAATTAGCGTCATTTGTGCGATGGATGTAAAAACATGAAATAAGTTCAATAAGATGAATAAGTCGATCAAAAGAACAGCGTCATCTATGCGACAGATGAAAAAACGCGAAGTAAGTTCATTAACATGAACAAGTCGATCAAAAAACGGCAACACCTGTATGTATCTCTATGCATGTAAAACAGTTCCGCCTTTCGTATGTTTTCAACAGGTTTTTTTCTCCGCTAGGAGTAAAAGTATTCTGTGGTTTTCTTTCTTTCTTTGGTTAGTGTAAACAATTATATAATATAAACAAGAAAAATGTCTTGTAAAACGCCTAAAAGTGACTGACGGAAGTAATTTATAATAAAAAAATGATAGCGGCCAACACGTCAGTAGGCAAAAATATTGAATTGGCCCCATATATAGCGGCACCACTATCAAATCTCTAGGCAGATGCTCTCAATATATGGAGAAGCTCTGAAGGAACTTTACCTAAACTAACCGAATTGGCTCTTAAACACCTCTCTGTGATGGCCAGTTCCGGGCCAGCCGAAAGATTACGAGTATTTTTGAAAGCGGGAAATATTGTCAGAAAAAACGAAACCGTATTTTAGGAAAAATACGAAGAAGAATTTTGGTAAAATAATTGTTTTTAAACTCTTTAACTGAAAATTCATAGCAATAATTTTTTTACTTTCTTTTGTTTACACAAGCTTAAAAAAAGATTTGTCTTGTATTTTAGTTTTGAGGCCAAAATGTAGTTATGCATCCCGGTATTCCCGGAACTACACCGGAGACCATCACAATTCAAGCGTAAGCGTGGGTGTAGATTGCTGAATTGCGTCTGGAAGACGGGTGGTCTTTCGTGTGAATACTGATAACTAGTCTTTAGCTTAAAGATCTAGAATAAGAATTAAGATAGTCATAGTTAGGCTCTCACATGTATCGGACATGTAGTTTTAAGTTAGAATACATCGCGGATTAATTAAGTAGTATATAAGTAATGTGTCGCACATTAATAGTAATAAGTTTAAAATAAAGTCTTTTTAAGAACGTCCTGAGTCAATTTCGAATCTTGACTAGGTTGTCGTTTGATTGTTTCTAATTATATTTTTATTTTATTTTCATTCTACTCCAATGTAAAGGATACTGAACATGAGTGGCAATAATTATTTATAGTTTTTTGCTTAAACTTTAAGCTTAAAAAAGATTTATTTCTGTTTGGAGACCAAAATGTTGTCATTTGACTATTTAAACTAAAAGTTTTATTTTATTTTCATTCTAATCCAATGTAAATGGTACTGAACATTTGTGGCAATAATGAAACTTAGACTTTTTGTTTGTTCAAACTTAGTTTAAAAAAACTATCGTTTACTAAACTTATCGTTTCATAATGATTTCTTATATTTACGCGAAGACTATACATGAAATGAAACTAATTTTTACGGATTTTATCGCGTTTAATTTAACTTCTTCATTCCCGACGTTTCGGGTGCTTAACAGCACCCATGGTCACAGGGAGGGGGGGCTGAGGTGTTTGACGTCCCGATGTCATAGTTAGCTCAGCTACCTTCAGATTTTGAATATTAATTTTTGGTTCGATCTACGCAGAATGAGCTTACAGTATCTTGAAGTCTTACAGTGATATGCTTGGGTTTGGATTTAATTTTATTCATTATAGGATCCTAAGCAGATGGCAGCACCCATCCATATTCTCTATTGAAATCAGGATGTTTTTTAATTTCAATAGCCCCGCGAATCATCCTTGGTAGGAATCGGTGTTCTTTTGCGAGGATTTGTGGTCCAACTATGACATAGGGACGTCCAGCACCTCAGTCTCCCTGTGACCATGCGTGCTGCAAAACACCAGAAACGTTGTGAATTAAAAAGTTAAATTAAACGCGACAAAATCCGTAAAATTAGTTTCATTTATCGTTTATTTTTATTTTGGTTCTAATTAATTGTTAAATGGCATTGAACATTTGTGGCAGTAATTTTTTATAGTTTTTTATTGTTTTGTAGTTTAGATTTAAAACCAGAAGATTTTCGTTCTGATTATGTTTTATATTTATCATTTTATTTAATTTTTATTCTGATAAATTGTTGATACTATACTCTCGTAGTTATATTAATATACGTGGTAGAGATTTAGATTTAGATTCCTACGTGGTAGAGCCATGCTGCAGCTATATTATGGATATAGCACGAATGGGTCGGCTCGACCGGGGAAGGACCACGCTCTCACAGAAAACCAGTGTAAAATAGCAGCTTAACGCTGCTGTGTTTCGTATGGTGAGTGTAGAGAACCGGAGACCCTTTTTACTGGCAAAGAGGCATTCCATCTTAGTCCTCACGGGTTACAACGCATCTGCATCTTGAGTCTTTATTGAGGATAGATGTTGATGTCTATGGGTCACAGTAACCACTTACCATCAGGTGGACTGTGTGCTCGTTTGTCACCCGATCCCATAAAAAATATATATAGGAAAGCAGGAATTTTTTCGAGTAAAATATTTCTTTTTGTAAAAATCGATTATTTTTAATAAATATCGATTTTTCTTAAATCGATTAATATCACAAAGCACAAAATCGATTTTTAGTAATCGATTTTTTTCACTCAATGTCACATCCGTACCAAAGATTCCGACTTGATGTTGTTGGGTGATCCAACTTTGTGCTGAAAAATCAGCACACAATCATGATTTTGTTAATGTTCATGTTGGGCTTGTAAAAATAAAGCGAGAAAAAATATCGCTGTTTCTTTCCTTCATGTTGTTTTAGATTGCCATTTTAAAAATTAGATACACAAATTTATATGATATCGGAAGAAACTAAAAATGTTAATTCTGTCATCATCATCATCATTACAGCCCTTCACAAGTCCACTGCTGAACATAGGCCTCCCCCAAGGAATGCCACAAAGCACGGTCCTGAGCCACCTGCATCCAACGGCTTCCTGCATATCTTCTGTCTGACGAGAAGATGTGTCGTAGTTTCCCGAACGCTGCCCAGCCGAGTTGAATCCGTCGATTGACCTCTCGGTCGAAGTTGGACTTACCTAGCGGACTATTTGTTCCAGGTAAACATACTCGTCAACAACTTCGAGCTTAGTGCTCCCAACAACTACCGGCATAGGTGTGACATGGACATTAAACATAACCTTTGTTTTGTCCATGTTTATCTTAAGACCTATTCGTTGGGAAACACTATTGAGGTCATTCAGCATAGTGCTTAGGTCCTCCAGCGATTCTGCCATAAGGACTATATCGTCGGCAAATCGGAGGTGAGTGATGTACTCGCCATTGATATTAATACCGTATCCTTTCCAGTCTAGAAGCTTAAAAACGTCTTCCAATGCAGCGGTGAAAAGTTTCGGGGATATAACGTCACCCTGTCTTACACCTCTCTGCAGTTGGATAGGTTTCGTACTCTGATTCTATACTCGGATAGCCATCGTAGCTCTACTGTACAAGCACTTCAGCACTTCAATATACCGACAGTCAACTTGGCATCGCTGAAGGGACTGCAGCACCGCCCAAATTTCGACGGAATCAAAGGCTTTCTCATAGTCCACCTACGTCAGACATAGTGGCAAATTGTACTCCTCGGACTTTTGTACAATTTGCCGAAGGGTATATATGTGGTCTATGGTGCTAAAGCCTTTTCGGAAATCGGCTTGTTCGGGAGGCTGGAAGTCGTCAAGTCTGCGCGCAGTTTGTACAATGTTTAAAAAAGTTCTTTGTTTTTACAGTTTTCCAAAAGATCCTTACAGGCGCCAAGTTTGGATAAAAACATGTGGCAATCATATAACCTGGGTATCTAAACGAACAAGCACTATTTGTTCCGAGCATTTTGACCAATCGGTTTTCGTAATCCAATCAAATAATAAAAGGAAACTAAATGAAACTGCTGTACCGACTTTGAAAGTATTGGAAGTAAGTTTATTATTTTGCTACAGGTTTATTTTACATTATGAAGGATAAAATTTAAAACATGTAACAAATCAAAATGGAAGGTTTAGTGAACGATATTTATTCATTTTAAAATGGTATTTACAAGTTTATCGTCATAGATGGTGTCAACCAAATTGTTGTTTTCAGATGAGACACGAATTATTAGCGCTTAAATAAATAAATAAGGACAAACAAATAATGTCAGTGTTAACCAAGTATTTGTTTTTAGGTAAGACACGAGTTATCAGCGCATAAAATTAAAGTAGGAATTTACTCATCGACTTTATCTTAAATAATTTATTCGTTCTTTTTTATTATTTATGATATAACATTACAAAATTATTAATAATAGATATTGACCCCCCCCCCCCCCCGCTCTATTACGATTTGTCACATGTTTTCAATTTCATCATGTTTATACCTCAGATTTACAGACATAAATAATAATTTTTATACAAATAAAAGTTAACCAATTATACGTCATATATTCAACATAAGTAGTAAGTAACATCTTAACATCTGGAAGATTCGAAGTATAATTTAATTTGTTTCCAAGCATAAGAAATATTGTAAATCTTATCTAATCTAAGAGAAAGTTTAACCGTAGAAAGTACTTGAATAATGATTTCTTATATTTACGCGAACACTACACATTTAAATAAAACTAATTTTACGGATTTTATCGCGTATATTAACTTATTTTATATTCCCGACTTTTTGGGCACTTTTCAGCACCCATGGTCACGGGGGGACGGCTACCTTCAGATTAAAAATTATTAATTTTTGTTCCGATCTACGTAGTATGAACTTACAGTATCATGAAGTCTTGCAGTTGTATGCTTGGGTTGGGATTTAATTTGGTACGACTTTCCATTGACG